CACCATCACAAGGGTATCAAGTTTGGTTAGTGCCTGCTTTGCTTCATTAATGGCCAAAACGTTGGAAACAATCATGCAAATTTTGCTGCAATAAATTTCAGTATCAGGCAATATTTGATATTCAAACAGAAAGGTGTCCAAAGCCATTGCAGAAGTCTAGAATGGGCTTGGCATTTTCAAGTGCTCCAGTACAGTGTCGATACAGGAGTAAAATTAATATAAACATTGGAGAACGAAAGGGAAGAGAGATGGCAAGATATGCATAGCTAGGCAGTCATGATCCAGGCGTGGTCTTGCTCATGTCATCTCGGCTTTACTCTGTCCAGCAAAGTGATCTGAAAAGTTGTTCAAAGTGCCTGAAATCTCTTCGGGAGAGGCAAGTTCCTCCTCTGGCTGGTATTAGGAAGAGGTTCTGCCTTTCTCCTGCCCAGTGATGAGATTCCCAAGGAAATTCACTAGTCTGATAGCCAAAGGGCACAGTATCTGTTTAGATGATCCCCACAGAGCTGCACAGGGAAATGGGCTGAAGGTCCACAAAGTGAAGAGTTAAGACTCTTGCCCTTCCCCAAGGAAGGAAGGTTCCTGACTCTATAGAGATGGAGCTATCAGGCTCAGGAGCCCTGAGATACCAGGCATCAAATGAAAACAGAGGGTGTAAGTGAAAGTTTACCAGTGCTTAGAGATACAACCCTCACGGTCAGCAACACAACCACCAACTCCCTTTCATGCTCGGTTTCTAGGGCCAGCAATGAGCTTGGGAATCTCATCTGTCCTTTTCAAGGGAAAGTCACCTATGGACACTGATCCAGGGAACAGGCTGGGCTCTAACCCAGTTATCCCAGGGCAAGTGAACTCCAGTACAGTGCTATGCTCCTAAACAGACGGTTAAGGAAAAGCTTGTGACATTATAGAAGCAGAATGAACACAAGGAAGAGAGTAAGCAGAGAGCAGAAGAAAACCTCATTTCAAAATGATAATTAGTGTTCTTGGGTTATAAAGGACAAGCCAGAGAATAAGAAGGAGCTTATAGAAATTGAAAATGTGGAAATTAAAAATGAAGTATTTGATATCAAGGTTGGGAGACAAAGTTAAGGAAATCTAATAGAACATGGGATAAGAAGACAAAGACATGGAAAATAGAAAAGAAATGAGAATCAGAGAGCAGTCGAGGAAGTTCACAATGCAAAAGGAGAAGTTCCAAAAAGTTCAATAAAAAGAAATAAAAGGAGTGAGAAAGTATCAAAAATATCTTAAACCCCAGATATATTAGGAACATACATTATCAGATGTTAAAATAAATTTCTTACTACCAAATAGCAAGGGTAGGCAAGCGGCTTGGTGGGTAAGAGTGTCTCCTGCCCAAGCATGAGACCCAGAGTTCAAGTCTCAGCACTGAGTAAAGTCCCTGCTCAACTGCACATGCCTATCACTCCAGCACTGTGAGGGCAGAGGCAGGGGAACACAGGTTCAGTGAGAAACCCTGCCTCATGTGAATAAGGGGGAAAGTGATATAGCAGGACACCACACATCATTCTTTGCCCCCCAAGCACCCACACACCCACAGCCACAAGATAAATACATTTCATGGCATCCAGCATAATGTGGGAAAGAAGCCACACTAAGATCACAAAATCTTAAAGATTCAAAAAGCCCTCTGAGGTAAGGTGTAGACACACATCACTGGGCCTCTCAATGCTGTGGATGTCACAGGATCAGGAAGAAATGCCTTTAAGGTAGGGTGTGTCCTAAGGGTTGAAAAGGGAAAAATGCCATACCTGGGGAATCACCAAGAAAATGACTTAGTGAAGTCAAGTGGCTGTCTTCATGGAGAGGGGCGGGGAGGGCTGCTGTTGCTGGTTTTTGTTTGTTTGCTTGTTTTACTGGAAGTCTGATAGCACTATCTGAACTGGGTGCATGCGTTTCTTGGGAAAAGTAAACACATGTATTTAAGCAATCCGACGAAAGAGGCTCCTGGCTTGTAAAGTTAAGGATGTTTAAAGAGATTCCCCAAGATGTCTGTGAATACTGGAGGCCTGAGCTTCCTGTGGAGATGCTACAGGTAACAGGTTTATACTAGCAGAGCTTACACATATTGGAAAAATAAAAGGGAAAGTGGAAAGCATATCGACTTATGACACACACAGAGCCGAACACGGAACACATGCAGATAAAACAAACAGAGCTGAGTACGATTCAGCCCGTCCTTTCGCTGCTAGGACTAGAAGTTAGAAGCCTCACCTTCTGGAAACCTGTATCTCTGCACTCATCTGTGCAGGAATTGTACTTGGGCTCTGAGTTGCCTGTGTCCTCCTTTGGCCAGCCTGGGGCCGTAGGCCTTTGGGTTCCTTCTGCATAGCTGCTTCCTTGTTTTTTGTTTGTCAGTCCCAATGGTTGAGTTTGCCTTCCCAGCAATCTCACTGGAACTCCACCCCTCAAAGGTGCCCTTTTAAACTGCTTTGCTAGTACTCCTCCTTGCTCTTAAAAACACCTTTTTGTCACTTGTACCCATGCGTTCTCTGGGGAAGCCCACAGGCAGCTGAAAACATATCTCTGGCCCACATGTTGCTATTTTTCATCAAATGGTTTATTAAATGGTTTTAGACACGGTTGGGCAATGTGCAAAAAACTAGCTGGGGGTGGAGGTCTTGTTCTTGAGAAACAGCAAAATTAGGAAATTATAACAAACAAGAGCAAAGTAAGAACTGGTTGCTTCATCTCAGAAGTACATATTAAAAAAAAAAAAGTAGATCTCAATTCAGAAGGCTCAGTTATGACAACTGGGTACAGAAATGTATTTTTACAAGGTGGGAGGCACAGGGAAAGAGACACAATCAAAGAAATAACATTGGGACGCATCCTGGAGAAGACTGGTCCAAGAACTATGGTAGAAATTTTGGTGGTATTTTCATTGCTGAAGTTTTAGCTTTTTACAGGAAAAAGAAAAGTTGTTAAAGGATGGAGAAAGGATGTACTAAGAAAACGGAAGAGTATTGGGAGGTGGGATGGCTAAGGTTATCCTGGAGCAGGAATTTACAACTAATACACACCAACTAGAGAACGATGGCATGATGGCATGAACTCATTCAAATGAAAGTCAATTTGACTTAAACTGATCCTCTAAAAAGAGAAAGGATCGACTTTTGCTTTTAAAAATAGGGATTTTTCCCTACTTAAAAAATACTTTCCTGGTGGCAGAAGGAACATACACACATGAGAGCAATGAAAATACCCATTCACAATCAGATAAAAATCTGAAATGGTGTATTTGTAGATAGACCCTCACATGCTTCTGTAAGTATCTTGAAACTTGTTTCAAATGCTAGGCAGTTACTACTTCATTAGGAAGCATCTACCATTGCCTGTCTGTGCTCTGTGCTAAGAAGCATTTGTTCTAATGAGCCCTTGCCAGGAAAGAGTCTGTCCACCCTGAAAGCACCTCTGAGATGGACAGTGTTTCATGCAGATTTAATCCAGACACTGCTTCAGCCGACTGAACCCTTTCAAAACACAACCCCTGTAGCTAAAGGCCTCAGGGACCCACTTGCAAGCATTAGGACCCCAAAGGATCTCTTTAAAAAAACCCCGTGTTCCAGCTACGACTGTTTCTAGTTATCATACTTAGAAAGGGGTTAGTGTGGGTCTCCGAGGACAGAGAGGTATCATTGCACCCAAATGTCTACAGAACCTGCAAGTTGGAATTAATCATCTTTGGTTGGGCTCAGAAGAAATCCTGGCCTAAAAACAGCCTGAGTAGAAGCATAATTTGTATTAAGATTAACAACGGATCATTTGACAGCATGCAATCTCATGAACCTCCTGGTGCCTCTGAGCTCCTACAAGCATCCTTGCACAAGCCTCTATTTTTGCTTGCTTCTGAACTTAAAGTGTATAAAAGGTTGCATTTCCATTGACATATATTTCTATATTTTAATTTTATTTCTATATTTTAATTTTGTTTCCGTATTTCAAAGATGTTTCCTACTAGTTCCCAGTTGCAGTTGATGTAAAATCAAGCCACACTTTTATTTATTCAGACAGGACTTCTTTAGATCTAGCTGGCATGTGAAGACAAGAAATCACAGGGAAGGGTGGGGGTTGGAAGGCTGCGAAGGGTAAGAATGAAGCCATGGAGCTTTGGCCTGTCTATACAGGCTAGCACCATCTCCAGCCTTGTAGCATCTACTAACTTCAGGGGTCGGGGTAGAGAATGGGGGTCATAAGTGGGAGCCACAAAATGCCGAGTTGCCTAGTATCTACCTACAGGACACTGTCTGCATTTCACAAGGAGGGCACACAGACAACAACTGAAAGTAAAGAGACACTCCCCACCCCCTCACACACACACACACCATGAATTCACTAGCAACTCTTGCTGAAATCCAGCTAAATGTCTCAGATAGGGATGCCATACTCCTAAGTCATGTGGTTGAGATATCTAACTGTTGCTGGCAAAATGGCAAATGTTAAAACATTAAACACCCCTACAAGACCCGCTCTCCACTTCACTCTGAAAATACAAAAATGCTTTGATTTTTAAAGGCCAAGAGTCCATATTTTCCATCACTCATAGCCTGTTAAGACAGCTGATGATTTGTCCCGAAGGTATAAAATGGCGATAGGTAGGCCTGAGAACCCCTGCCCTCCTATCACCCTTTGGCTAATGAACCAGAAGAAAAACTATAGAGGCATGCCATGTTGGGTCATGTGACTTCTGCAGCCTGCTTTCCTCACAGTGAAAATTGGACATAATTTAAAATTTTCTTGGCTGCAGTCAGGAATAGGATGTTAGGTTCCTAGGTATTCAAGAATTCAAGGTTTATTGGACCACTCTTTTTCCAACTCTGAGGAAAAAAAAAAAAAAAAACCGCACAAGGATGTACAGGAGAGGAATTCTGGTGGCGATCAGGCTCCCTTCCAGGCCAAGCCTGGTACCTGGTACACACAGGACAGTCTGGCACGCGGGTAAGAACGGCTCCCACAGTGTGCTATTTCTCACTTACCTGGCTGTGGGCTGGAAGCGCAGCATAGGCCATGGGCGGATTCATCACTCCTTTCTGCTTAATGAGAAGCATGCGTTTCTGGTCCTCACTCAGGTGCGCTCTGGGAGCTTGCAGCTGTGGTGGAGGCTGCTGCTGCTGGGGAGGCTGGGGCTGGGGCTGCGGCTGGGGCTGCGGAGGCTGCTGCTGAATGTAGGGCATCAAGGGGTTTTTGTTAGGGTTGGCCATAGGGGGTGTCATTCTCGGACTCAAGTCCGCATTAAAATGGGTCAGAGGCTTAGTGTTGCCATAAGTGAGCATATTGTGCTGTTTGTTTAAGGAGTTTGTACCCAAGTTATTTGGCTGCTGACTGATCATATTCATGTGATTTGAAGGGAGGTAGTTGTTCATGGTCGTCTTCTGCAGGCTATTGGCCATTGCAGGCACTATAGTGTTTTGGTTGTTAAAGGCTTGGGGGTACATCATTGGGCTATTTGGTTTTTCTGCAGTAAAAGCTGCTCCATAAGGACTTGACGGAGGTCCTAAGGGAGACCAACTTGAAGTCTGATTTGAGTGGGGCTGCTGCTGCTGCTGCTGCTGCTGCTGCTGCTGCTGCTGCTGCTGTTT